TATTCATTTGTCCATGGCCCTACTGAGATAGCTCTTGTAAACAGCTATTAGGATAAAATTGGAGTTAAAAAGGATAGCTGTTTTCAAAAACAATTGTTTACTAGAATTCCCTATCAATGCTGATTTTTGATATCTTATGTTTCTTTTCAACTTCAATTCCATCTTTATTGCAGTTACCAAGCATAATTTCACTGGTATTCCCCATTGGTACTGATTTTTAATAATAAATGAATGCCTTATATTTTTTTTTTTTTCTTATTTTTCGTCTTTTGTTCTAATTATTTCTTTTTTTTTTTATAGATCTTGTATACTGCGGGAAGATGAATGGTATGAAGATTTGAGATCTTATTAACCCGGAAGGGTTTGTACTAAGATAAACACCAGTTTTTTGTTTCATTTTTTTTTTTCTTTTAATTTTTTATTCTTTGTTCTAACTACAGTCAGACCTCTCTATAGTCACCTTCTCTATAGTCACATTTGCTTATAATCACATAAATTTTTAAATCCAATTTATATAACACTTATAAAATTTAACCTCTATATAAGCACAAACTCTTTATAATCACCAAATTCTTAAAACTAAGGGTATGATTATAGAGAGATTTGACTGTATTTCTTTTTTTTCATAGGTCTTGTATTTTGTAAGTTTAAAAATCATGTGCAATTAGATAGTCAATTAAAGCGTAGAAGTATTTATTGATTAACTCAAAATACAATAACAAATGAATATATGCTGATATTTGATAAATTTAGTTTTGAAAGAGATTATATATTGGAAAATATACAAATTGCAAGTGATATAACACATCTTATGCTTGGTATTAAATGTGCTGTTTTCAGAAGGCAATACAAGAATAGACTAGTAGAAAACGTACGAATTTCAAGCAATATAATACATCTTATACTTGGTGTTAAATATATGATCTTTAGAAGACAATACAAGAATGGCCAAGTAAAATATAAGCAAGTTGCAAACGATATAACACATCTTATGCTTGGTGTTAAATATGTGGCCATTAAAAGATAATATAAAAATGGGCAAATAGAAAATGCACTAATTGCAAGCAATATAACATATTTGATAGTATATGTCAGTAGAACAATTGTGCTTAAAAACAGCTATAAGGATGGAATTGGAGTTGAAAAGGATAAACAAAAGGCATTTATTTATTATCAAGAATTAGCACTGATGGTAAATACTAGTGGAATTGCACTTGGTAACTGCAATAAAGATGGAATTGAAGTTGAAAAGGACAAACATAAGGCATCAAAAATTAGCATTGATGGGAATTCTAGTGAAACAATTGCTCTTGAAAATAGCTACCCCTTCTAATAAGTGATACCAATAAGATCTTTAGATTAGATGTAATATGAATTTATATTTTTTAAAAAAACTGCTGATAATTTAAAATTTTAACTATAAAACTACCTTTTGTATATTAACAAAAAATTCATTGCAAAATTTTGGTATAAAATAAATCTACTTCGGTTATTACCCTAATCTTAGCATAAGGTTTTATAGTTTTATAAATATTGTGCATATTCGTTTATCAACAGTCCTACTGAGATAGTCCTTGAAAACAGCTATTAGAATAGAATTGGTATTGAAAAGGACAACTATAAGGTATTAAAAATTAGTATTGATAGAGAAACAATTAAGCTTAGAAATAGCTATAAGGATGAAATTAGAGTCAAAAAGCTGTTGAAAAATGCATCACCTAACGCTTTTCTTTCTTTTGATCCAGGATTCCAATAGTTAGCGTAGTGTTATTGAAAGTGCATCGCCTAATGCTTTCCTTCTTCTGATCCGGATTACAATAAGTCGGCATAGTGTTGTTGAAAAATGCTTTTCCTCCTCCTGATTCGGCCCCATTTCAAATCCTCCGGCGAACCTAAAAAAAGAAAACAATATTAGCTAGAAGATTGGTAACGAAAAATAAAAAAAAAAAACGAAAAATGAAAAAAAAATATAAAAAAAAACGATAGAAAATAAAAATAAACTGATAAAATACAATATCCAAAGATTTGCAAAGATCATTACTTTTAAATTATTTGCGCAGATCTGTTTTTTAATTATTAACAAAAACTGCGAAGATTTTTTAAAGTCAGAACTTCGCAGTTTTTTTATTAGAGTTCTGCGATGATTTGATAATTTTAATGATCTTTGCAGATTATTATTAGTTTTACTTTCCCGATGTAGTATATCATGTTTGCAAACTTCATTGACAACAATTCATATAAAGAAAACTTCATGTTGTTAACTTCTGGTCTTGAGTCTTTAACTTGCTTTTAGTAAATAGCTGATACAAGTGATCAAAAAAAAAAATACTTTATTATATTATAGCTATACCAAAGCCAAAAACTATATATATATTTTTTTCTAATCATACAGTATTAATAAAAAAAAAATAGTTAATTCACCCAAAAAATTGGTCATCTTGACCAATCAAATTTAAGATCAGGTGTTGTTTTCTAAGTAAAAAAGTTTGTGCAGGTGGTTTCCTAATTAAAATTTAATTATTCTTGTTTTTTTTGTAAAAAAAGTGATTTTTATATTACACCTGATCCTGAAACAAAATTACAGGGGGAGAGATAGGGCGTCTTACATGATTATTTGCCGGGGAAAAATCATCATCTGACCGATGGTTATATAGATGCGACTTGTTCGTGATGGAAAAAAATTTTAATTTAACAACCATAATGTCAGATATTTCAACGCTTTCAAGAGCCGATCCACAAGATGTTCTTGATGCATTAGAATTAAATAGAAGGCTTCAAAATGAATTAGACAGAATTAAATCAGGTATTGACGCAGCATTACAACGCAATATAATTTTACAGGTAAATATCGAAATAGCCTCGATCAAAATGATTATTCAAGTAACCGTTGTCTTATAGCTCTAACATATATTTCTCTATTTATTTAGGAGCGTCTCACACGAATGAGACAGAAGGAAGCTGAAGCCGATGGTTACTCTAAAACTGTACAAGATACACCAAGTGTAAGAACTTTTGGCCCTCCATTTTTTGTCGACGCGGAGGGAAATGTAAGCAAAATATGTTACAAGTATTGTTTCTATTAGTAAAATCAAAAGGTTCGTTATATCAACATTTCTATATGTTATATAACGAACCAAAAATTTTAAATCCAGAATCTATACTTTAACAGATCATTTCATTAATTTACGCGTTGCTTCTATTAATTGAAACTTAGACTCCACCTGAGAATGAAGATACAAGTGTTCGGCCGTTAATTTTTAAAAGTACAAGATGTGAGTGTAGTACTTTGTATTATTTTGTAATTATTATTGTTTGTATTGATTAATTATTTTAATTTATTCGATAGGGACTCTGAGCGAAAAAGATGCATTGCGAAGGGGTGTTCAAGATCATAATATGAGACGGGAAACGTTACGAGCTATGAGGGAGTAGGTGACGATATTAATATTGCTAATAAACACGGGATTCGCGTACTATTTCCTTTTATTGACTATACATAAATTTTTATTAATTCTAGAGGCAGAACAATTCAATCCGTGGAAAAAATGCCAAAGGTTATGTTTCTATATAATGTGGAAGAAATAAATTGGTCACAAATTGCAAAACAATATGTATGATATTTCTTTATTAAAATAATTTGTTAAAAACACGTATTTATATCTTATTAAAAACTGGTCATATATTATATATTCAGGTACCTACAAAAACAAAAGAAGAATGTATCATTCAATGGACAAATCACGATCACCCATGCATTAATAATGATGAATGGACTACTTTAGAGACGAAAAAATTACTTGAAATCGCTGAACAAAATAATGGTAGAAATTGGCAGAAAATTGCATTAGAATTAGGAGTTAGTATATTTATTATTATTTCTGCGATTTAAATTTCAAATTCTTTGTTACTTTTTAGGTATTCGATCTTCTGTTTTATTCGTTGATTCTTGTAATGGTGAGTTTACAATTTATTTTTTCATCTCTTTTTTTCTCTTTGTCTCAACAGACAAATAGAACTGCTGCCGAATGTTTTAAGCAATACAACAAGCAATCTTCTGATCCTCGGTACTTGCGTCTTTTCTTTGTCCTGTATTTCGTTTGTTTCATATTACTCATGATCATTGTACATGATATAGTAAATGGTCAAAGGAGGAAGATGATATACTTATACGAGCGGTAGATCTTTATGGTGAAAAGAATTGGCAACAAGGTAATATATTTATATATAAAGATTTTTCAAATTGTACCTGACAAATTGTTGACGTTAGATATTCTTCATTTTAGTTGCACATTGCCTTGATAATAGAACAGGCCAGCAATGCCTACACCGATGGACTAAAACCTTGAACCCAGCAATCAGACGTGGTCGCTGGAAAAAGGAAGAAGATGAAGTGAGTTTGTAATAATAACTTTTAATGTACCTTTTTGGTCTTACGTTTAACAATTAACCATATATACAACATGTGCAAATACCACAGGCACTTCGAAATGCGGTCTCTATCTATGGTGCCGGTAATTGGGTTAAAGTACAACAATATGTACTAGGTAGAACAGATGTACAGTGTCGTGAGCGTTGGATGAACGTTCTTAATCCAAACATTAAGAAAGATTCATGGACTAACGAAGTTATTATCATTAAATATCTTTATAGCAAATTTAATAAAATAATTTTAATCTAACCTACTCTTTTGTGCTCTAATTAGGAGGATACAAAATTGTTAGAGTTAGTAAAAAGCATAGGAGCAGGAAAATGGGCAAAGATTTCTGCATTTATGGACGGGCGTACAGACAATCAGGTTAATATTTAATATATATGTGTAAAATATAGACATTTCGTGTTAACTTTTTTTTTTTTTATTAGTGTTGGAGACGATACAAGGTGTTAAAAAAATTGGAAATGCAGAATAGGGATGGGGTCGACTTGAGCCAGCTCGGCTCGGCTCAAAAAGCCAAGCCGAGCAGGCTCAAGCCGGCTCAAGTAAGTTAGCTTTAAGCTGGCACATTATTTACAGCTGTTTTCGAATGATTTTTCGGCTGATATAATAAACCTTAATTTTGTATTATTAATGATTGTTTGACAGACCGTTATAACAATAATATCAATGTTATCAAATTTTTTTCGTTTGCTTGTCTGACATGTTTGATGTGTTTAGTATGTGCGTTCTTGTCAAATAATAAATTTTGACAAGAAATATAAAAGCGGCTCCAAATATAAAATAAAATTTTATAATAACATATTACATGAATAGGTGTTAAAAAGTTAAAACATATTTTATATCGTTCGTGTTTAATAAACATAGTTTTTCTAAAGCGATGGAAGTATTTCGATATATCCATATCATTGAAGCACGTCACTATGTCCAAAAAAAAGAATTGAAACCAATTGGACATTGACATTGTGACATGCCATCCCTGATTGAAAGTGCTTGAAAACCCGACTTGTCAATTTTTTTGAATTGATAAACCTTCTAAATCTTTTTCCATTAATTGCCAGCGAAGTGTTTGAAAGTACATTATCATATTTCTGTCTTCAACCAAAGATATGCAGTCTTATAATATCTGATATTTATACTGATTACCTGATAAATTACTCTGGTTATAACGAGTCTAGCACAAAATCCCGACATCCAAAATCTCGACAGGCCATAATACTGACATCACGCGGCATGACAATTAAAATTAATATTTAATTAAAGATTAGTAATCACGTTAACAATAATTGTCATACTTTAAATTTTTAATTGTCACGTCGCGTGATATCAGTATTATGGCCTGTCGAGATTTTGGATGTCAGGAACTACAGCTTGATCAAAATCGCATGATGCAAAAATAACTATCGACTAATTTACCTTACTCTATATATTGAGCCTATACTACACACTTGCATGATTTTAACAATAGCCATTTGCTAAAATTTTCTCTTACCTTTGTATATCACACTCGAAATTTCATCTCAATCAAAATTACATGACACAAAAATAATTACTGACTACCTCATATATATATTAACTAGAACTTATATACACATTATATTTTGTAATATAATCACTTACCTCATATACCAGGAGCACTTATACTCTTCATAATCAGTATTCCAAACAGAATACAAAATAATTTTTCTAAGATCAAGCAAACATGTGAATTGATAACCAAAAACCTAAACTTTCAAGATTCAATTTGGGTTTTTATTTATTTATTTTTTTTGTAGTCAAGGTTAGTTTTTTTAGAGATCTAAGATTTACAAATTAGCTAAACTTGTATATAAATAATTTTTTTAAAAATATATACAATTAGGTTTATGATAAATATATAACTAGATTTATTTTAAGAGTATTTTTTCTAATTTTATATTAATAACAATCCCAAACATAAAATTAAACCATTCTATTAGTATTTCTACTCTTGGCCAATTTTTGATAAATTAAATTTTTGTATTATTACAAGAAGAAATACAGGTTTTGTAAATCTATTACTAAGATACTCTAATTTTTAGATTTTAAACAGAACATTCTTGTATCTGGTAAAGCTATTAATAATTTTAAACTCAAGATAGTTTTATAATGCCTTATTATTTAACTGATTCAAAAGTTAATTAAAGAACCTGAAATCATGGCTATAGTACTTGAATAAGTAAAATACCTTTCAAAAAAGCTTCAAAAATTAAAAAACTACATGAAAATTCAGTCGATTAATTTAGATTAATAACAAAAAAAAAAAACCTCTGCCCGCCCGATCGAGATTTCGAATGACATGAAATGCAAAACGAAAAATCAACTTTATGTGGCCTAATATATACTAAATTTTAAATTTTGCAATTCATTATATCCGAAATTTTTCTAACAATATTTATTGATTAGCTTCATTCTCACAGTGAGTTGTTTATCAAATCCAACACCTTACAACGTTTTAACATCCATTCTTTTAAGCTTATGCATTTCAAGACAACTTCCGAATATCATGTTTTCCAGTCTATTGTATCTGATAACATTATCCGAATATAGTTCAACTTTTCTGATATTATTCCTGATATTATTCAACACGTTCGGTCTCATATTACCACAAATCTTCGACACCTTATACAGTCAGCTCTCTCTAAGTGCAATTCATTGGGACCAGACTTTTATCAACATGCATTTAGAGAACAATTAAGAAAATTGCATTTATAGAGACAGAACATATGCCAGACATATGCTTGGAATTAAAGTGGCATTTAGAGAGAAGTTGCACTTAGAGGGATTGCACTTAGAGAGTGTCGACTGTACTTCATACTCGGATGTCATCCTCGATCCCATTTCTAATAATAGTCATTCCTTTATTACTTCATCATTCTCAACTTTCTCGACTTCAGGCATTGTCATTTTAGAATCAATATATGTCGTCCATTCTCAACGATATCTTCATCACGTCCATCATCGCATTTAATTTTTTGGGCCGTTTTATTATACAACAAGGGTAAGTTTTCGATTTTTCCATAGCTAGTTTTTTTATAAATTTTAACTCTAAAATCCTAACCTAGCCCTAAAAAAAAAAGCGATAAAAAAGCATCCAAAAAAAAATTTTAAAATTTCATATCAAAATAGGTCGGTCCAAATTTCAGCATCATCTGTGACAATAACTACCAAGTTAATTAATATATATATAGTTTTTTTAAAATTGGTGAAATGTAAAAGACCCGGTTCTTGTATATGGGTTGTTGCCCAGCAAAACCATGCTTAGAGTATATAAAAAATATATACTCTAAGCATGGTTTTGCTGGGCAACAACCCATATGGTAATTTTGTAACCTCCACTAATTGCAACAATGTAATTGATCGATTTTGTGCGTATAGACATTTATATAGTATATAATGTGAAATGAAATATTGAAATAGCTTAGTTAAAACTACTACCCGGCCGTACGAAACAAAAACCTACGTACTACATAACATGCTATATATATTACGCAATTCACTGTACATTATAATTTACTTAGCTAAATAGTAAAGTTCTTACTCGGGTCATAACCCGGGTCAATACGTACCCTGACCGCCCGGGTCGGTTTTTTCTGACTCGGGTAAGAGGTCTAGGTTATGCCGCAAAAACCTATTTCGGCATTGATTTTTAATACGTATGACGGTTTCATTTCAAAGATCAATGCCGAAATAGTTTTTGCGGCATATATAGTCTAGGTTGCGCATAACCATATGGGCGAAAATTTTTGATTGATGCTTTTTAGACTAATTACTTTTTTTTTTTTTAAAAAAAAAATCACTACATAATTAGCAAATATACATCATACTAGAATCTAGAAATCAGGATTTTAAATGCGCAAAATATATAATATTTCTATTAGAATATACAGTCTAACCTCTCTACAGTCACGCCCTCGGTTCCAAGAAATTCTGTGCTTATAAGAAATTGTGCCTGTATAGA